TAAGAAAACCTCAAACCTGAGCGCACAATCAAAAAAAGCAAAATCTCAATATGCCCGCACCATCACCAACCCTCAACCATGGATAGGGACAGAGAGGTTGCGCCCCACGGGGTCCATGATTTCCACAGATGCGGCTGCTCCAGGATGTTACGTCGTCCGCAAAAAGTGGACATGGACCTGAAAGAAAGTCTGCAAGGTCTTTGACGTAGTTCAGAAGTGGAAATGGTCACAAAACAGGGCCATCCAGACCGCCGCCGAAGAAGGGGAGTTTGAGCCTTATTTTAACACAGAATGTTCTGTCTGATAAGAACGACTTAATCCAACGTAGAATTCCCTCTTGAATCCCGTAAGACTCAAGTTTGTGGAGTAGCTGTCCGTTGTTCGTATGGGACTCTGTCAAACGCCTTTGAGAAGCCGGAAAATTTGGCAATCGGCATTGATCATTCGTTCATAAATACAAGCATGCTGATTGAACGGGAATTGTTTGGAGGATTTCGTGTTGCAACGCGTTCCATCACCGTGTATGATATGCTAGTGCGGCTAATAGTCCTGTTGCTGCCGTGCGATAGTCGGTCTCCAGTTTTGTACATTAGGGTGACGAACGTTTCCTCCGAAAAAGAAGGAAAGTTGCCTTTGTCGGGCGATTGACGAAACACGTCCGTTGATTTGTCGGCCGAGTGGCTGTACCATGGCGATCACGCGTCTCGTGGCGTCACTTCCATTCTGACGGGCTGAAAGCTATATGGCGGGGGCATTTAAAAATGACAAAATGGCGAATTTTGGTCCTCTTGAGTGAAGCGTAGAATTATAATGCGGTTGTATCTGTTAAAAATTAACATCGATAACAGATTTCCAAACTTAATGAAGGTAGAAAGCATGCGATTTCTGGTAGTTTAACATAGCCTCTGTGCGGCAAGCGTACTCATCCCTGTTATTCCTAAAGGTACCGGTATCTCCAAAAAGAGAGTGATACATGTGATTACTGACTGTGACAAAAAGTGATTAAGCAGAATAGTCCACATTTAGCAGTTAACGATGGTGTATTGACTGTTTGAACCCAGCGTCGTTCAACTGATATGAAACCATTATTCGTTTGATTGAAACGAATAGCCTACGTGTAATTGTATGTTACCCTAAATGAACCACTTGAAGGCTATGTTTCATGCGATTTGTGTTCAGTGGCTACAGGGAACACTGATCTCCTCAACTCCGATTTATAATAACAGAACCATCGGGCCAACGGATCAATTATAGTGCCTGCGGTTACGCCAGAGCTGGTAACCGATTTCCTATTTCTTGTAGTTCCTCCTTAAACGCTAAGTATTTTGTGGACAGATAGAGAGGTCCCTATCAGTTGAAATCCTTGAAAAATAAGAGGAATTGTTGACGTATGTAGGGATCGTTGCCTGTTTCTCCCTTTTATTAATGTGACCATTGTTGATGTGGAACTTTGCTAACTTAGTTTTCGCCAGGGAGCATTCATTCTAGGCGACGTCCACATAGATTGGCGTGAACCCGTACCTTCAGAGAATCATCGCTTTCTCTTGCCTCCAAGCGCGCTTGTTGCGCGCCCGACGAGGATGGGTTGCACGGATCAGTGATTCTGCATGCCATATAAGTAACAACCGACGGGCTGCCATCTGCGGTACTCCGTTATTCTAAAATTTTCGGTTGGAATAACAGTTGTGTAGCGAATTTTCGGTTTCCGATTCACGCTTCTGAATTGAAACACCCAAGAAGCGCAGTAAACGCCTCATCCACGTGCAGGCTGCAGGGCTCCTGCATACACCACAAAACGCATGCTGCCTTAAAGAATCCTATGTTTTCCGGGAAGCACCACATTTCGGGGCCGCTCTCAAGGTATAAACGAAACAGGAAAATTACGGAAGCTTATCTCCAACACGAGGCCTGGATATCTTGGTTGCCGTGACGCTTGCGTTTCCAGGAGTATGAAGCCATTTGCTGGGAAACTTGAATTTATTGTGACTGATTGCAAGCAAATTACAGAATCACCAAAAATGTGTTCCGCAGTCGTACCTGGAGAACAAATGGGAAGAAAAGTAGTAAATGGAAACCTAATGGAAATGACTAGAGCCACGTTTTGCCTAGCTTGCGTGAAAGACGCACACTGGTTTCCGATGCCGCATAACGTTGAGGAGGGGATGGATTTAACGGCAGAAAAAGCTACTCGCCACCACACCTCCAACAAGACATGGTAGTTAGCAAACACGAACAAAGGGGAGCTAACTAGTCCTCCGTACTTAGTTTGTAATTGCTCATTCCTTTTGATAAAAGTCTGAACACAGGTGAGCAACAAGGAAGACTCAGTAGGTTTCCACTTAGTACACCTGTCGGCAGGTTCGACCCGGTTGGCGCTTTCATTACCAAGGTTCACAGCAGGTTTTTGCCTAGGTACTCAGGTCGGATAACCAATACTCGGTGAGATACGACCAGTACTGCTGGTTCTGACTGCAGGTGCTGGTGGCATAGATCTCAAACTCGCTCACATCGCCACAATGCACCGTTCGCTTTGACCAGACAAACAAACTACTTTATCCGAATGAGTCACTTCCCTAAGCTTAATAATCCTGGCTTTGAAGCTTTGTAATATACGAAAATTAAAAAAAATACAGCGGCGTCAGGCATTGCTGAATTCATGTCAGACAAATGTGACTTATTCTAGTCTACCACAGTCCACTCACCGGGGACATCATTCGCACAAAATGTCCCACGGCAACACCATAACATTCCTGTGACTCACTCCGGATAAAGCAGTAAAACACTCCCCGACCAACACCATTACAATAGGTTAGTACCAGACGCCCCAGATGATAGCCACCTCGGTTACACTGATACGTTGAATTTGTCTGAATTATTTCACCGTACTTCGCAAACAAGCCACGCAGATGAACGGAGGTAAACGATAGAACATTCAAGCTACCATCATCCGCAAAGGAACTACAGTCACGACCGGGGAAGTATTCCATCATGTGATAAGTTACGTTGCGTTCGTCCGAAGATGTATTCGGTGAAACTACAAGACATTATACCACAAAACCAGCTTACTTGACACTAATCCACTGGATGAGGTACTTGGCTTCAGCATAATAATCACCGGCCGTACCGTCATTGATACCGTACTGGTCGCGTCTGGCATGTCGTAGGCACCCAAACCACAAGCAGACCAATCGAGGAATGGCCGTTTGTAGCTCCCCACGGGCTTTTGTACCATCCAAGCATAAGGCCCCTATGGCCTTGATACACAAGCAGCCCCGTCCAGACCGCAAGACGCTGTGCACCATTCTTGTAAAGATGCCGAAAAGTGCTAACCGTCTATGAATCAGTAAGACTGGACAGTTCCCTCAAAATCGTCCAAAAAACCGCTGAGTCTTCGTGCCAGAACTGTCAGCCACTTTTCGACCCACAGACAGCCAATCAGCGAGGGGGACGAGGGTTGGGCTTTCAGCCGGTGCCAGTCAATCACCCGCATCGGCCGGCCGAGCGCCATCTGGGCCTACTGTACCTCCTAAGTGTTTCACCTGCTCTTGTAATTTTATACAACCTGCTGTTTTTCACGGCTGATGCTATTACCACAACCGTCACATACAAAGTGGACCTGCACGATAAATACCTCATTTTCGACTATATAGTTATGCGTAACCGCTGAATGGTGCTTTGGTTATCACTGATTTGTGTCAACAACATTCTCATCACTAGGGACCATGTAGGTCGCCGGGGATTATGTTTTAAAAAACGTTGCACCTTAAGCAAAAACGGAGAGTGACTGGAACAAACGCTTAAAAACTGTTGCAGTGCATATAAACCAAATTAAGGTTCTATTTATTATTAATATCCTACGGAGTCTTTCATGAACTCCTGATAGGTCACAAAAATGAAGAATCGAAAAGTTGTGGTAATAATGGTATTCGTTTTTCACTATTTTTGGGGGACTACGTCCCTGTCACCAAGGTTCTAGGGCTTGCGCTTACAATTTGTTACAACAACCTCGTTCTGGACCTTGGATCGCCGAACAGCACCCCGTAAGGCGGTCATGGATACCATTCAACATCCATCAGTAGGCTGTAATCTCCCAAGATACAGAACTTCCGTCATTACACACCGGAACTGACTAGAATCTCTCTGGGTAGTTGCCTGCTTTGTCTATGCGCTTCCTCCCGTGTGATTTTATTCAGCTGGTGACAGTCTGTTACCCCGGTGCGGTGGATATTTTTTCGCTATATAGTTCGTCCACGTACTGTACGATCTGAGGGTTCTCCGAGTGACTTTGGCGACGGAAACTTAAACAGACATGTTTCACAGTTCTGGATCCACCTTCCACATCAGTCCTGTGGGGAAACCCACTGAAAGCATCGGTCACGGATTCGCCGATTGATATACAGGATCGAGACTTTTGCCCAAGTTTCCCGGGTCGGTTTTGTTCTTGTCGGTCGGTGGCTGTCGTTCACCTGAAAGGCACAAGTGAAAAAAGGGTGTAGCACTGCTCTTTATGTTCCCAGCGCGGGGCAGTATGCTTGCCAGCGCGTGGATTCGCATAAATAAGTGTCTAATAGTGCTTTACACTGGGTTCTAGAAGGAGCGTGGACAACCGTCGGAGGAAGGTCATTCCACGCAGCTACTACCCGAAATGAGAAAAAGTTTGTCTAATGAATGTGTGTGCTCTGAGCTTGAAAATGTTCTTACTATGTCCCCGCCGTGTATTTGCTGGGTCAACGGTAAAACATCTGTCTGCCAAGCCTTGTTCAAACAGGGCGTACGTAAGAATTAAGTCTCCTCAGAGGCGACGGTACTACAGGGGAAAGATATCAAGCATCGCGAGACGCGTTTCTTAGCCCACGGATTTGAGGCCGACAACATTTTCCGTAGCGGTTAGCTGGGCACGCTCGATGAGGGTGACGTCTTTCGTGCGTCCTGAGTAGACATTTTGGTTGGCGTATTCCAAGAGCGGTCTGACGTAGGCCCCGTAGAGCGTTTGGAAGTCCATGCGAGTAATACGGGAGAAGGTGAGTCGGATCGTCCGCAAAATGGAGGTGCCAGTGCAACGACCACTGCTTTGTGGCGTCTACATCCATTTGGAGGTCATTGGCATTGGAACTCCAGGATTTCAAGTCGTCCGTAGAAAGTAGACATGGACTTGCAAGAACATCTGGGAGGTCGTTGACGTAGATCAGATACAGGAGTGGTCCCAAGACGGAGCATTGAGGGACTCCAATGGAGACTGGCGCTGAAGAAGAGTAGGTCAAGCCTATTCTCACTGGGAATGATCTGTCTGATAGGATCCGGCGAAGGATTTTCCCTTGAATCCCGTAAGACTCGAGTTTGTGGAGCACCGGGACGTGTGGGACCCTATCAAATGCCTTTGAGAAGTCGAAAAATATGGCATCCGATATGAGTCCCTCGTCCTTGGCTTGGGTTAAGCTGTCCATAAACATGAGCATGTTTGTCACGCAAGAGCGTTTCTCATTCCACAGAAACACTTCTGTTGGGCCTTTCCCAACAACTATGCTTCCAAATTTTTGTGCACTTGGTGCTGTGCACCATTTCACGTAAGAACACTTGCGGAACAGGATATTTCCCAGAGGTTTTGGTGCATAATCCCATCCATATATGCACACACCTCTAGGTGTAATGAGTGTCGTGAGCCCTCCAACTGCCCCCTACAAAGAGTGGTGTCCATCATGGATGGCCGCTCTCTCCTTTCTTGTTCAACCTCCTGATTGTTGAAGTAATCAGACGACCGCTGGAATGTCTCCGGAATCCCGGTGTTCAAATTGTTGCTGGTCGATTTTGAATACGTAGATGACATCGCCCTCATCTTTGAAGACCGAAGCAAGGCACCAGCCCCTTTAAATAAACTGTAGTATGCACGCTGTGGTGGCACCAGGGGACTGTGATTCTCCGAAGGCAGGGATTTATGACACTTTCTGTGGATGGAAAACAAAGAAAGCTCATGAGCCGAAGCCCAGTAAGCAAGGTTGTACATCAATACTTACATAAAAATCAACCCAAACAGCAGTCACTGCACACTACGAAGCTGATCACCGTCATATCGTCTTTCAACATGCCCCTTGCACCTTCAAAGTTCACAGTCGTGCTTCATAACGTGTAGTCTCTGCACATACCCCTAGGAGCTCAAGCAGTATCACCGGAGGTTGTGGAGAATTTTACATACCCCAGCAGTTGTATTAGCTCTGACTGAACTGTGTCTGATAAAGCCAGCGCACAATCCCCAAGGTCCGAATAAGGTTTGCTAATTTGTGTCACTTGTGGCGTCAAAAAGGCATGTCACTAAGTCCTAAGGGTCGCGTGTATCAGGCTGCGGTAAAGACTGTTGATGTACGGCTGCTAGACGTGGCCACTGTGGACAGATGTAAAGCGTTTTCGAGTGCCGTTGCCTTCGATGGTTTTGGATGGCGTCAACGGTGGGTATTTGGTTGTATGGCTCGTACTTCAATCGCGGAAAACCTCCGGCACCATGGACTACGATGGCTGGGCTACGTGCTGCACATACCGAAACAGCATCTACCGAGACGAGTGTTGTTGTCTGTACCTCATTCACAATGGTGGACGACGTTTGACTTGTTTGTGTTGTACGCCTTCCAGGACTGATTCCCCCTAAAACTTCGTGCGCTTGGCTGGAATCATGGCAAGAAATGGCGACATGTCGATGCCAGTGGCGTTTTTAGTTTCAATTTCTTTCCAGATTGTTTCATTTGACGCTTCGATGTGTATACGATTCAAGGCTTGCGATAGTCCAGCGCCAGGTCCCTTTGCCCGCCCAATCTTTTCTTTTCATTCTAAGGCCTCAAGTATAATAAGATGATTCAGTGTTTAGGGCGCGAACTCGTTGACCGGAATGTCCGTGGTTCGAACGCCACCTCCGTCTCTTGATTTCCCCTGTCTAGGCTTGGGCAACCTGACAGTATCCCAGCCCTCGTGCTTCCTTTGAATGGCATGGCAGCTAGGCGCCGAAAGGGTATTGCGGCTGAACGATTATCTTTTTTTCCTTATTTAATTAGATGTCACTGGCTGTACGCAGTGAAGTATCAGTATCAACACTGATGTTGTCTTTGCTGATGTTGATAATGATGCTCTGTATCAGAACAGGAATTCAAGATGCAAGCACAATGGTTGAGCTAACTGTCCCATTGATCCAGGAACTCCCCTGATCCTCTGGATGTTGAAGATGAAACCCCATACGACCTCGAAATTTTCACTCTGCATATGTTCTCTCAGCCGCTGCCGAGCTGGTCCAGATGATCTGCCACGCTCATGGATCAAGGATGGAAGTGGAGTCCATAGTCAGCGTTTACCTTATTTGTTTCCCTCCATTTTGGAAAGGAACGCTTTACTCCACTCATTGCGAGACTTGGCGCTAATTGTCCCTCATTGTCTTGTGGTGGCCCGTGAAGCACTGATGGTAGAGCAGCAAATGGGGTTCCGACCTGGTAGGGGCTGTGTTGACCAAATCGTAACACCGTCGTCAGAAACTGGCGTGCTTGGCGATCAAAAGTTTCTCTTCCAAATTTATATTCCTTGAAATGGTTCTTTATGCGAACTTCTGGAGGCGCGTACGAATGTACGGCAAGATTTTAGCAAAGTCCACCACATCCAGTGGTGAAAAACAAGACATTGAGTATGCAGACGACATTGCTCTCCCTGCTTCAGATCCTTCAAAAATGTCAACTATTTTAAATAACCTAAACAACTCTGCCACACGATTTGACATGCGATTCACTCCTGCAAGTTATAAAATGATGTTACAAGGGTGGGTCGGATTAAACCCAAATCTCATGCATTCAGGCAAGCCAATCGACGTGGTAGATCAATTCGTTTACCTGGTCAGTTGTAAAAGTTCCGGTGGTCTAGCTGGAGATGAGGTTACTTCTCGGGTTTGGAAAGCCAGTACAGCTTTTGCCAACTTCCGACCAATGACACCGAAGTGACGTCAGTTTATCCGTCAAGGGCAGAGTTCACACTGTCAATGCGATCCATGCTGCTTTATGATTCAGACATGTGGCTCCTATGCACAGAAGATACACGAATTTGTTAGCGTTTGACCGTCGGTGTCTCCGAAGCATTGGTCGGGTCTTGTGGGAACATCGGATTATTAATACTGAGCTGCGCCAGATGATTCTAGGAGGGGGCGAACTCTCCCGCATTACATGAAATATTCACGTTTTACATGTTACGCTTGTTAGGATATGTACTCCACGTGCCAGAACACCTTGTCTCACAGAGCTCTTTTCATCCAACCCAGCCCTTTGCTGAGTGGGACCGACCGAGGGGTGGAACTGGCAAGGAAGTATAAATATACTGACCGGTGGACTCAGGCGAGCGACAACTGCCGCCTTCCTGGATGGGGGCCCCTGGAATCGATTCACAAATGACATACTGCTGGCAGAAATGTCCCAATTGCGCAGTCAGTGGCGCTCTTGTGTCAGAGCTTTTGCCTTCGATACATAGCTACCTAGTTGCTAAAATAAATTGCATATGCCATCGCCCCAAGGCTGGATGGGCGGGATGGATCAGTGGCTAGAGTGCGAATCTGCTGACCAGAAGGTCCATGGTTCGAACCCGACCCCTGCCTCTCGACTTCCTCTGTCTAGGCCTGGGCAATCTGACAGTATCCTAGTTCTCGTACCTCCTGGTGGAATGGCATCTAAGCTCCGAAAGGGTGCTGCAGCTGAGCGAAGGCTTGGCTGTAAGGCCCGCCCCCCCACTTTCCGGTGATCGAAACTGTAGCAGCTGGAACCAATACGCCTATGTTACACGCCTTTTAGCTGATAAACCGAACTGGTTTTCAATCGAAACCACTGCCTTTCGAACGTTGGTGGATGCTGTCGTCTGAACTTGTAAGGTTTTAGTAGAACAGTGGTTGGTAAGTAATAGCTACCGAGATCATGAGATAATGAGAAACCTAGTGCATATCCGACTACCACTTGATCATTTCACTGACTTATTCGTATTGCTGGTTCTCAAACTCTGACGACTAATTGAACAGATCAGGTTGCCGATAAAACTCCGTACTGTTTTGGCTGGTTCCTCCGGTTGAATCGAGAAAATAAGGTGTCAGTTTCGTCGCAGTTCGTCCCGCGTTTCACCTACACTTGCCCCCTTGCATCAGTGACTTCACGAATGAAGCTATCATGAATAGTCTAGTCGCTCTACGAAACGTCAACGGTTTCAGTCGTCATCGGACATTTAGCTGACTGATACCCTGTTGTGAACTTGTTCGTGCCAGAAAAAAATCAGCATTTTAGAGATCACCAACCGTGCGCATCTCACCAAACCTCGAGTAGTCTCAAACCCGCTTCCTCTCGGCTGGTAGTTTGAATACTTAACCATTCGACTACCAGTAGCTCACCAGCAGTGTGGTTAACTCGCACTTAGTGTGTTGCGTCATCCATCCTTCAATCATGGAAACCACACCACGTGTTCACCTATTGACTGGCTGCTCGAGTGAAGACTTCTCACATGGAGGTTTCGCCTGTCTTGAGTAGAAACAGACTGATGGTTGTTTGGGGAGATTTGGTGATTTAAAAATGACATTCCAACCTGAGAAAGCCGGTCATTTAGTGAAACATGTGTACAGTGCTTATCTGCTTTTCAGAATAGACTGACTTCCTTTACAGGACAAAATATCAAGTGAAAGTTTTCAAATCTCACGCTGTCATCAACATATATTGAGAAGCTCCTGACTTTTAATCGCACCGAATATCTCACGACTCCTGAGGGTGTTCAAAGCTTCGGCTTCAGGAAGTGGTTGGTTTGACGACGTTTAGGATACATTGTTCTATGTGAGATTCCAAGTATCCTAACTCAGCAAGTCTTAACGCATTATTCATCAATTCAGCATTCGATGAGACAAACGGTCAGTCCTAACAGTCAATGCTTATAAAGCATGAAGGTCCTCGCTTGAAAAATGGGGAATTAGGAAAAGGAGCTTGAAAGTTAATCTTTGCTAATTTCATGATTGAATCAACTCATAACTAACCCAGAGGACTCATACGAATTTGTCTACAACTAGCTTCGGTAGCTCGGTAGCCCCATGACCTAAGATCCACTATTTGCACTACCTCTACTTTACCCGATTTAGAGCCCGAGTTTAAAAACGCGGGTATCTATGAATGACGATCAAGAATGGCAGTGTGATGAAGCATCACTCTCACGTCCGGAGGAGAAACGAAGTTAACACCTAATCAATATTTGTGCTTTCCCGTCAGGCCAGCTGCCGGGGTAGCGTACACTTACCACTTGATATATGTATACTCACTTCAGAACATGACAGTGTAATACTGCATAGGGCTAACAGGACAAGCCTTTTTCCACACTGAAAATTAAGCCTTTTCAACGATTATGAGAGAGAGAACCAGATGTACAAGCTAGTCAGTTTGAAGAGGTACCGGTCTTTGGACAAAAAAGTGATGTGGATAAAAAGCGTATGTTGAGTTGCGTTGTAATTTCCAAGAAAGAAACATCTGCAATACACTGTTAGACTGTTCTTAGCTAAATCTAGTGACCTTTCGTCTGTCACGTTCCGTCAGGCTGAAGTCATTTTATGGTGCTTTGTACCTCTGTACATCCTCGTTACATCCTCTGTAGTGCTGGCTGTGTACGTTATGGGCCGATGAACACTTCTTCAGTTTAGTTAAGTTTAACCAAGATCCAGGGGGCGTAGTTTGCGCTTGATTGACGCTAGTTTTCTTGATTCCAGGAGTAGTAACAGGAAGATGTTGAGGCCGAACGATGCATCTGATTTGCGCACCTTTTCTCAGGATTGGGAGCTATGAATTCATGCAGTTGCAATGAGTTTTGAAACGGTTTAAAAGTTACATTTTTGGAATCAGCCTTCGATCATCTTCGGCCATTCGACAGTTTTGGTATCGATATTATGAATCACACGTACATTACTATCTACTTGGAGGACACTGCTGGTGAGAAGTTGCACACTACTGGTAAAACCTGCGAGTAACACTTGTCTGCAGTTCAAGGCGCCACCTTCACAGCTAGTAGACAGATGGGGACTATCGGGCTGCTCACATGTGTTCGTAAATTGATACCGAATGTCACAATGACGTCCAGGATGGCTCAGAAATGCGCCAGAGAACGCTGGGTTTCCCACTCTATGCAGACGAAATTTTGCTTTCGTGTCCGATTGTCTTCAACCGCTCTGTTCATTTCTCACCATCCAAGCACCTTTCGCCTTCCACCGACGACAGAATGAACAACAAGCATTGATTAGATTTTGGCACTATCAACGTGTTGAAGTTGACCTTTATAGAACAGCTTTCAGTTTATACATGTCTCGCTGCACAGACTATGTACTTCCATTCTTAGAGTACCAGGACCTTGCGAGTATAAAAAATACAATCACCTAGTTATCATATATTGCTCAAAATTTTCCATCCTGAGTGATGCGAATGATGAGTTGGACTGAAAGTCATAAACTGTATGCAAAAATATCCGACGTTAAAGTCGTCTTACTCCTACTTCTAGGTGGAAATTTCCAAATCCAACGACTGTGGATATATTCATTCCATAATTAATGAGCCATGCGAGTTCGCCTGCATTTTCGACTTGTATGAGTTTCTGATGGTTTCCCGTTGGAACTCACCTGGTTGACATCACTCGTCTCCGCATGGTGAGTGACATTGTTTAATAGGTAAAGTGTAGTCCTTTTGCGATGAAACGGGTTCACTACTTCGATAATTGGAGGAATACTTTTTTTTAACTTAAAGGTGCCATCCTGATAGTTGTTCTCTAAAGTGACCAAGCAATAAAGGAGTTGCTGTCATTTCACTATCTTTTAGCCCTTTACTTGTTCTCTGTCCAATCAATCTTGACCGCACGCTATCAAAAGGTTTGGGACATATCTCGCGATTTTTGGCGTAACACCCTTACCAGTACAAGCAAAATCATGTTCCTGAGATTGTTAGAAATAAATAAACTATGGTTCAGTTGGTTCCTGGTTGCCTTGAAACGCAGGAAGGCAAGAGGGCTTACTACCGCCAGGTTGCCTAAATATAGGCAGAAGTAAGCGTGAAGCTAGGGCTTAGTTCGAAGCATGGGCCACCCAGTCAGCAGTGTGACCCCTTAACCGCTGAGCTACGTCGAGTTTGAGAGGTTGCTAGGGTCAGTGGCTTCGACAAATTTAAATTGAAGAATGTACGCAACCTGTATACTCATGGATTGAATGGATGCGTGGACCTTGGACAAACTTTGAAAGGTCCAAATCGAATACTCATTTTTTCAATCTTGACGCCCTCTCCTCATATGGTGACAAAATGTTTGCAAACTAATTGCAAAGCTTGGCAACGCCATCATAGAAGTGGCTTCTGAACTATACTGATTGACCTTGTGATAAAGTTAGGCGAAAGGCAAACTCACTACACCGAGGCACTTGAATCCCCTTTGACAGCAAATGGGGAGGATTTCACAGATAAGAACCTATCTGAATAGTCAGGGCTTATCCTTTAGCGACCTACCCTACATGCCTGATACAACAAGGTAGGGACCAGTCTCTCGTGTCACCTGTGAAAAATTATTAAGCGTGAGGGAATTTGTCGTGCTATAATTTAGGTTAGGTGAATTGTCCACCGTAATCCGAAAATTTTTATTCTATGTCTGAGAGTGTTTTAGAAGGTTTCATCATTGTGCATTTGTGGACGTTGTCGTTTTGTCCGTCTGTACGTGCTATGGGGCATTGTGTTTCGTCAGTCGTATATTGTGCCAGGGGCGCAATGTATTCGACGACTCACTTGTGACAGATCGCTCGCCCTCAGAGAATGTGTGCATCATGTTAAAGTGCGGACGATCTTGGACGTTTTTGATACCCGGTTGTCACTGGCAGGTGTTCTGGGTTATCTTCCGTTCCTTGACTGCCGTTGTCTCGCAACTATGCCTTGAATCGATTATAACCAACGAATTCATAGTGAGCTAATTAGGGGACGAGTTTGGTTGTACTTTACTAGAGAAACGCGTCTAGTACTGCCAGCCAGGATAATCCGATCTTATACTACACCTATCAGGTTATCCTCTATCGGGAAGTTCGTTCGCTATGCTTATTTCGGAGTAGTTAGAATATAGAGACAGACGAAGTTAATGGAGGATTTTGCGATGAGCTTTATTATCGTTGGTATAATCTCCCAGGATGCGGTCTTCGTTCGCTTGGCTGGGGACACTGAATTATATGATTAGCAACCGATGGCATTGGCATTCATGCTGGAATTTATTTAAATAAACTTATAGGGTTGCGGAACGCTGAAGCATACATATATTGTTGCCAGTGATGATGTTGAGACAGATCGTGGTTTTCATACGTATATATCCAGCTTTGCGCCTGATCAGATCCGTACACTGTCAATTGTGTTGCTGATGTTGATCAAACTGCTACTCGGACAAAAAGGGTTGCCGAAAGCCTATCGCATCCTGGGCAACAAAGTGCAGAACGGCGATTCGGATTGTGGATGTGGTCATATTTAGTATGTCGGACTACTGATTATCTTATCTCAACGACGGGTTCATCCGGTGCACTTGGTATGCATGGTCCACACGCTTTTACCCTTGCCTTACTAATAGCCCTTCACCCAGTACTCTTCGCTGAATGAATCGACTTATGATGTAGCCCAGTAAGTAACGTCGACTTCTCGAAAGAATCCTCCGTGAACTTTGCAGCACCTCCGGAGGCTAGCTTTGCTTGTTTTCAATTTGATTTACAGCTAATCTACACTACGCTCGTCGTCCATCCGTTATTGTGTTACCTGTAGTGTTTTCGGTGAAAATCGGTCCCTTAGCTATTTGACACCACTCCTTTCAACGGATAATGAGTTGCCTTGGACATTTTGGTGGGAAAGTGTTCAGAGTAATGGCTATTTATTGACATCCTCCGTAATTCCTCATATCTTCTCTGATGGTCATATGTTTTTCAGGTCGGGGACTCTATGTTAATTGCTCGACGCCTACTGGCTCTACGAATCCACAGAATCCTTTGTAGACGTTACAGGAATGGCGGTTTTGGGGACTTCGATCACCTTTCTGGGCCTCGGGTGCCCGAATCCGAGGTCAATAAGCGTCTCACAGAAAGAGAGCTGAATTATGCTGCACCACACGATCGTTTGATTTTATCAGCAAACCAGGTACGCAGAGTGACAACTGGTGGATTGTATATTTCTCTTCCACCCTGACATTCTTCTTGGCTGATTGCTTTGCGTTGAGTGTTCGTTCTTGTCAATGGCTTTCACATCTGACTCTGTATGACGGATATGATGTTAGCCTATAGGGCACTCCCAACTTTCGCTATCTGTGGGGTCAAAGTTCTCCCAGAGTGTTCGAGCACAGGCATTGAGTACATAGCAAATAAAAAAAGAAGTCGTCCAGCTGTAATACCCTTTCAGTGCTTAGCTGCCATGTCACCAGAAGGAACCACAAAGGTTGGGATCCTGCCAGGTTGCCCAAGCCCAGACAGGGGGAGTCGAGAAGCGGAGGTCGAGTTCGAAATACGGACCTTTCAGTAAGTAAATTCGCGCTCTAACCACTGAGCCACCCCGCCCCCTGAGTGCTTAGACGATATAGCCGTTCTTGGAACGGGCCCCGCTTGTTCTCAAACACTATTAAGTAATCTAACCTATTCTCCTCCACGTTTTGTTACGCTTTTCAAACCTGCAAAGTTTAGAGTACAGCTACAATGTTGATTAGGATGAAACCCGAACACCATGCTTTCAGATGAGCCGACTGCGGTAGTACTAGTCTCGGTGGACCAGCTAAATACTGTGTTTCTATGCGGATCGGAAAGGCCAGAGCATCTTTTGTCTGCACCATCTGTGGTGCATGCAGTTTTTGACCGTCGGTAACTTCGAAGCATTACCGGATTTTGGTAGGAACACTTGGACAGTAGTGTTGAAGTAGGTCGAATTGTTTTCGAGAAAAATGACTCGCTCACAGTAGATGAGCTGTTCACACTACACAGGTTATGCTATCATCATCAAGTGCTCCGTATGTCACCTGATTGAATTCCTCGGGCATAGCGGAAACGAGCCAGGGAAGGTATGAAAGTCATTACGAGCAGCCTCAACTGCGCTGTTTAGTGCCGTCCCTCTGGATGGGAGCTCTAAGATAGGACACATTACTGGCTGGACACACTGATGAATATGCCCCTTCCATCACCTCCATGGTGCGTGCGTATTGGGCTATTGTTATGGGGGCTATTAATAATGCCCCGATTTCCTTAGTAAAAAAGCCCACTTTCACGCCTTATGCACGCGTCAGTTATGTCATCTACTGCCTCCAATGCCTAGCTATCCATTCCTGGCTCCGAAAACCATCGGCGGGCGAAATTGTGGCTGCTATAACCACTATACATGTATACGACCCGCAGCCGATGGTGATGACGGGTTTGGACCACTAACCACGCCAACATCAGTCCACTGCGATATCATCGTTTCGAAAATACTGATATTGGTAAACCCGTGGAGATCACTGTGCTTGACTCTGCTTCCTAACTTCATTGGAAAGTTCATCTCACGTTAGCAGCCGGTGAGGATTTAGTGGTCATCCGCTGTAAGAACCCGATCTTAGAAACACAAAAGATGGCCTTTATGTGGGGGAGTGGTTTTCCCACTAATTGAGTACTTCTCTTGCTTAACTTACGCCTTTGTGTCTGGGTGATTATTCATCTCCTTTGCAACAATTAGGTAATGTCTTGTACGCTGTCATCACTTGAGTTATGTATCCATCCCAAATTTCTTTGGATTTAATGCAACCCCTTTGCAAAAAGCTTGTTTTTGAAAGCTGTTTTACCGAAAATTGCTGTTTACTGGCGTTTATGTATTCATGAGTGAAGCCTAATCTTTTGGGCCAGCGTGTTTTAAATCGGCTGGAGAAACAACAAACAATTTCTTGCTAACAGAGCAGTATCGATACCCAGTTTTCTGTCTGAACCGGTGGTCCATTTAGTTCTTGTAAGGTCGCCCATCATGATGGTCTTTAGAGCCCGTAGTTAGCTGATTTTAAGCCATATCACGGATTCTAACAGAGTATTGAATTACGTCCACTTCATCTCATTTCGTTTTCCAACGAGACAGAAACCTGGTTGTTATCAACATTTGTCGCATAGCCATGGTTCCCAATTATGACCACCGTACGTAATGCACCGCAAATTAATTGCGCTTTGAGGAATCAATACGTGCAGAGTCGTGCATTTAAACTCATTTATTTGTCCACGTAGTCATACTCCTTCAGGAACGCCCTATGTACAAGCAAGACGAAGGGTGACGCGTCGCATAGTGAAAAACCATTCGGCTTCCACATTTGGTCGCAGTCCATATGTCAGGACTATTAAACCCCGTCACTCTTTATGACTGAGTAGCAGTCTATACCTTGATCATCCGATTTTCCCATTTTCGATCGTTTTGGGAATCATGAGTGCTGATCAATTGCCACTGATGCGAGTGTGCCTCATGGGCTCTTTGTTTGCTCGTCGTTTGACAAACATTCGTGTTTGTTATCTGTTGGAGCTGCTTGTGAATGTTGGATGTTGATTGGGTATTAACTGATTTGTTCGCCAAGACATGGCATGCAAACTTTCAGTCACCATACGAGATGACGTCGTCACTGAGCGGTCGATTGGGTGTCAACAACCTACAGACGAACCCAAACGACCACTGTTTAAGATACTGTTCGTGAGTATTGATGTTAGATATGTGGGAATGTAGACATCTGTTGAATCAACCAGGTGTTTATCATTTTAGTGGTATCTTGGTCTTTTTATAAATTGGGTTTGTTCTTAAATGGAATGCCAACGTTCTTTCTCAACCAATCTCTCCGATTTTGTCACTGATGACTTATCCTCCTCTTGACCATTTTCCAGCTGCATTTTCATTTATGTCCTGTTCTATTACTGCTTAGTGTATGATTCTTGTGGCAAAACTGGCTTGTTGTCTTATCAAATGAGTACGATTTGAATTCTTGGACTCTATTATATATGTCCACGCTTCATTGTTGACTGCTTCCACCAGAGTGCGTACATTCCTGCCCAGTAACATGCTGACATAGTTATTCACTACCTGTTCCCTACTTTCCTGTTCTGGCTTTCAACTACAGGTGGGTGTGAATCGTCCAGTGGAAGATCGCTGGACCGCTTTCCAGTCTGGCCCTTTCACGAGCGAAGGTTCGCGCCTGTCAAGTCTGGATCTGGAATATGGGGGCTACATGTTTTCAGTTTTCGACGGTCATGGTGGTCCTGCATGTGCTCATGCGATCAACCTTCTGCACCCGGACTATTTGGTAGCCGGACTTTTGCCGCCAGGCATAAATGAGCAAGTACTACGAGACTTACGGTCGATAGAGGAATCCGTCACGACGTTCTCTCTGTGTGGCTTGTCGGATGCACTTTGGTCACGACCGGAAGCCACAGTGACTGGTGAATCAGAACACATAAAGTATCAGAATCTTATCAAACCGCCTTTTGCACATAATTCTTGTCAATGGCCCCCCTGGGGTCCATGGGGACCTTTACCGGGGTCTATTCACGACCTGCACATTGCAAATATGAGAAAGCTGTTGGTGGAATCTCTCTCTTGTTCACTGGCTGATGACGGTACGTCCTCTTGAAAGCCTTTTGTGTGCTGTACTGTCCCACCTTATATTTTTCTCTACTCTGTCATACTCTCCACGGTAATTCACGTGATTAAGGTAACACGTTAGTCTTTCGACTCAGAGGGGTAGCGTAAGATTTGTTGCCGGGGGCCCCTTCCACCCAAGGGGTAATTAATTCCATCTCTATTTCGACCTGCAAACAGCATTCGAAAATTCAATGGAGTAGGGAATACGTTGACTTTCATATCATATTTTATTTCCCTTTTCAACGGTTGTTTACGATCGCTAGAGGACGAACCTGCTGTTAAAGACAGCGTAGCGAAAACTGAAGACGTCAAGCGCCTTAAAAGGTCTTCCGGTCGGGAACAGTAATCAAACATTTTCTCTACAGAGGTTTCATCTCAACTGAGCCAGTAATGACTCGACCGGTGATGCGCAGCTGGTATGTAGCTCCACCTTCCCCGTGAAGTTCGAGTGTGACCCCACCCATTCTTGCCGCAGCCTTTTACACTTTATATATATCGTAATGTACCATATTGGACGCTGATTGTTGGCTTGATTGTTCAGATATCGATAAGATGTGCTGCTCTGGTCATGAGCATGACGGTGCGTTTCTAGTGGACTTCCAATCAGCTATTCTTGAGCTATAAATGGAATGTGGCTCTTCAGCAGACAGCGTGATTCTGAGTGAGAGCAAACTCATCACTCAGGCGGAACAACGATACAATCAGAATCATGTAGAATGTCCAAGAAGGAACGGCAATCCTTAATTGAGACCACTCACCGATAAATAGTGGTCATGTGAACTTACTGAACCTATGGCTGATGTGCAGTAGATGGTCTCTGTATGACAGCCTGTTCTGAAACTTCCTACCGGATAGGAGCGGACAATGGTCAGCATAAAAACGAATAAGTCAATAACCTGCCACCCAACTGTGGTTCTTTTAGGCTCAGCCGTTTTTTTGGATGGGTGATAATATCTGTCGTTCTTGCTAATCGAAGAATCCCCAATAGATATCCGTGAAACTCATCTGTCTCAGTTTCGGAATAGCACCTATACGGGCTTGTGTTGAACCGACAAGCAAGCATCGTTTACTGCATCCACCGGAATTGGTACACATTGAATCAAGCAACCTCACAGCACAAAGACATCTGTTTATCGGAATCCAGTGGGCTAGTGCGCTTCCGACTCTGATACTGATGAGGAAACCCACAGGTTGCTACATCAGGATCGCCAAATGACCCGAGGGTGGAATCTGGAATACCTGGATTCCTGCTAAGAGGCGCATGATCGCTGTCATATCGAGGTCACGGTTTGGCCACCTCTCCCCTTCCGCCACTATGAATAGGGCACGGGAAACAGCACTCTTCCGCAAACGACCGTTCAGCATACGCAGTACATGGCCTAACCAACGCAGCTTCTGGTACTGGATGCACTATTCCATGGACGTTCCCGTTGTACAACCGAAAACTCGATTTCTAACTGCCTGGTTATGGATTCTCCGACACCAGCCCACATGAGCTATGGTTCTGATAAAAAAACAAATCGTTCAGCTGCAGCACCCTTTCGGTGCCTAGCTGCCATGCCACACGAAGGAGGCACGAGGGCCGGGATACTGCCAGGTCGCCCAACCCTAGACAGGGGAAGTCGAGAGGCAGAGGTCAGGTTCAAACCACGGATGGTTCTGATACAACGGTTGTCGAACAACTGAAGAAGCCTCAATTCCGCTACTCGAACAGACCATCTGTCACAGCCATACAACGAACCGGCCTGATACACGCCCTTTGAGATACAGAGGCATACCGTTTTGACGCCATAGGTCTTTGAAATTAAACGCGACCCGAGCATTGTAGATTTGTGCATTGACCTCATATGTCATACTACAACCAGAACTAATACAACTTCCGAGATATGTGAAACGCTCCACGACTTTAAGTTCCTCTCCCTGGATTGTAAACGACGTGTCCAGGATCATTTGTGGGTGCAAAGTTCATACCACACAACGGGATGACTGTTCACTTCATCCAAAAAATACATGCACCCCTTCGAAGATGGGAACGATATCGCCAACAGACTCCAGATCAAACTGATCTTCGTCAAAAGCAATTTGAACACAAAGATTTGAATAAATTTATCATTACATCGGACTGGAGAGCTGGTATTCCTCATGAACAGCCCTTTGGGTACGGAAGCTTTTGAAGAGCTCTCCGTATACCCCCACACGTCCAGAACTCTGATTACGAAGAATTTATCATGTTAACAAACTTCCGAGACATTGCTCGATGGATAAACGTGTCAAGCAGGACAAAACGATCAACAAGATCAGATTCACCTTGGAATTTCAAGAATAGCGAAATTTTGGCGTTATTCTAGCACCTGACGCGACGTGAACATTTGGTCAACAGAATGACCTTCTCATACGGAAAGCGCTCTGTGTAAGGAAGCTTATGAAGAGCTCTCCGTATACTCTCACACGTCCAGAAGTCTGAGAATACAAAGAACTCATTGTGCTGACGAAACCCCTGGGTATTGTTTGAAAAATAAGGAGAACAGAACGGTCAACCAGATCAGATCCGCCTTGGAATTTCAAGAATAGCGAGATTGTGGCGTTTTCTAGAACCTGACGCAACGTGAACATCATCACTACGAGCCCCTTTTCTGAAAATGGGCACTATCACCGACTCTCCACAGTTGTCTCGGACAACCTTCTTTACCCAAGTGCAGGCGAACAGATCGGATAAGGACTGAATGAGGACTTCACCTCCATAAGGGATCCCACGCTCAACGTGGGTTCCAGATGAGTGACAGCTGATGGCCACGACAACTGTTGTTCGGTCCACAGGTCAAAGCGTTCCTCATCACCCAAGATAATGGCTGCATTCTGATCCTTGATGGCCTCGAACACAGATGCTTTCCGGATACCGGTCGCTCGGATCAACTGAAATCATCTTCGGGCATTCCCAGCTTTCTGCACCTCTCACTTTCCCAACCTTCTGATTATGTCAGAGTTCACGATCGGTTCGTACGCTCACTTTCACTTGATGTACGGTAATTCGTCGGGCCAAATTTCGTTCAGGATCGCGTGAGATATTTCTGCCGCAGCAGCCTCTGGATCACCAGAGGTGCACATGTGGAGGCGAACGAAGAGTGATGGTGGGGGGGAGCTCAACCACTGTGCTTGTACTTTGAATTTTTGTTTATAATACACAGCACACGTCAATGCCAAGCGGGTGCAATGTGAGAGGAAGAGAGGCTTGTTGTCCCGTTCGCCTACGTTCTNTGTTTATAATACACAGCACACGTCAATGCCAAGCGGGTGCAATGTGAGAGGAAGAGCGGCTTGTTGTCCCGTTCGCTTACGTTATTCGCAAAACCGATGTAGGAGGCATGGAGTCATCAGTCCGAATTGATGTGCCTACAAGGAGAGGGGTGGGAGGAGGAGGGGAAAAAGGTATGAGAAGGAGAAGGAAGGGAGGCCTCAACAGTAACCTGTTTTCGCTTACCCGCGCTGCTGTATACAGTGAGTAAGTCGACCCGGTTGATCGCAGCACGCGACAGCCGATGTGGCATGAGCGTACTGTTAATTGTAAATTTCATGGTTGTACGTGGAGCTCCCTTACTTTAGGAGAAATCGGGTGAAATATTAAGTGGCTGTAGTTTTTATCGTTTTTACGTTTTATTTCCTAATGTAGCCAAGACATGTTATTTATTTGGTTTGAACTGTTATCAGCAATGTTGACCTACTACGATTTAGCCGTTCATGTCGCTCTTATCTTACTCCGTGAGTTTTGATCCCTCGCACTACGTACGGGTGTACTCAGTCCTGAGGCTAATTAGTTTCCGCAGTCAAAAGAGTTTTGTCGACAGAACATACACACAAATCTTCAACGGTACCCGTTTACTGGAGTCTTTATTACGGTCATATGCGAGCCATGGTATACAGTCATGTTGCCATACGCCTTATCTCAAGACGGTCCGTCCAGCCGAGTTCGCATACGTTGATCATCCTATCGTCCTTTGAACCATCCTGTTTTTCTTCAGACGTATAAGCAAAAATTCACTTGGTATGAATGCGACTTATGCTCCGTTTCGTTGTCTCCACATGTTTTCGGTGCTCTACACTTTAGGCATCCGTGCTACTGTATTTCTATTGATGCGAGTCTTGAACTCATGTATTTACACACGTGAGCTTTGTGCCAAATGCGTGCTGAAAAAAATAGTTTTTACTTCACAGGCTTTCTCCCATCGTTTGACGTGTTCGTTCAAACGGTGAACAACTCGCTGCTTAGGAATGTGTGCTACGGTTGAAAAGACCCTCTCTTGATTCGTTGTCAGATGTTCTCGTTCCTTACACAAGTGAATCATTCATCACCTTTCGGTGATATCATGTCGTGTATGAAATACCTTTGTCATACTGGATTCCCGGTGTGCCAGACCGTGCTAATAGAGCCAATTTAGAAGGTAGCTTGCTCACAAACGTTCTCATGCATCACCGCCGAGTGAGTCACCGAGTGAAAACGGTTCCCTCACAGCTTCTTTGTTATTCAATCACTGGAAAACGAGACATCCAGTCATCTGTGACACTTGGTTCTGTTTAATTAATTATCCTTTTTAACGTCTGAAAGTGCTGACTCCTGACTATCTGCCTGGTGTTTACCGTTGGTTTCTTCCTACTGAGCAGGTAGGAAAAATCCGTCCTAACCTATGAAAAGCCTATTCAATCTGTCCACTTTCATCATACCTGAACCTCCAAAAGTGTCTAAATATGTCTTAGCTGAAACACCCTTGCACATCATAACTTGACTTCGGAACGTCCTTAGGTCGGTGTTGGAACATTTTAGTAATTAGACCGATCCATGTTCTTTTGGACCGCACCAATCATATTTCTTAAAACAACAATACTACATAGATTGAAAAATCCTTTCGTCACTCATCTGTCACGATCCGTCTATCCCTTAGAACAGAGTCGGTCCATGTTCTATAAGAGCTGATTTTCATCGATACGAAGAAAACCTTGACCACTGATTGGTGGTCTACTCTTGAGTCCGATTCGTAGAACTCCGTTGGTTTGAGTGAAGTAAGAAATACTAAACATTTTCATAAAGGCAACTTCTCACAAGGTTGCTGAAAACTCTTCGACAGCCACGACCGGTTCAAGGTTGCTGAAAACTCTTCGACAGCCCACGACCGGTTTCGCCCTTCTTGGGGCTCATCAGGTAGGCGCAGTCCCCGAGTTTCCGTCAACCTTATGTCCTACTTGAACCCAAATTGGACCGTTTTCGAGAAATACACTAATTTACAAGTCATTTTGGTTTTCACAAAAGACTCAACTGAATCTCTCGTTTATGATATTCTACTATACTAAACATTCCACACCAGCGTTTTTCGGCATTAGCAGTTCCTGAGTTGGCCTTTTTAAAAACAAACGGCCAAAAATACTAGTGGTACTTCATGTCTTCGTTTGCGACAATAAATGTGGTCTTAATTTGTTTGAAAAATCATCACTATAAAATTGTAGTCAACTTGTTACTCAGGCGCAAAATAATGGTCCTTTTGCAAAGTTCTGCGTCCTGCGAAATGCTGTGTGAGATGTCAGATAAAGGTTTCACCGTGCCTGGTATCCCGGTTGATTTTGAGACTCGGGACATATTCAATCTTTTGGACTTGCTCTGCAGGTGAATGAAAGCACACCGATAGCCTTATGCCCTCATCAGCTGGACGAGGACTCCGAATTCCAGTCTCATTTTCCCTGGACGCTTTTAGCTGGCAATAAGTGTCCATGAGTTTTCACCAGCTTTATGGGTATTATGGTTTGTTCAAAAAATACGTTCACATTTCAGTTATCCGCTCAACTGAATTCCAAGATGTCTTTTGTGCTACCTGTTCACATGAAGAACACCGCTGTTTTTGGTTTCTCGTTAACGTCATCTTAGTGGGTGAATCAGCAACAACTAATGAAGTGACTTAATTGCATGTTCTCCAGTTGTGTTGTATGAAACTTGCTGCGCACTGTTTCTCTAGTCCTTGCATGCCTTCTAGCTGAATTGGATACGGTCAACTGTGTTATTGTTGCTCTTGCTCTCTACTGTTTACTAAGGACCGAGTCCAAAGTACCATTTTCGTGTTCACCTCGCTGTTGGGGTATAATATGCGGAGCATATTGTTCAATTGCTTTGAAAAGGAACTGCATGTGCGCCTTGCTTTAAGGGTGCTTGTGGGAATCGGTCTTTCCTTAAGCTGTTACGCATAGTGGGTGGATCCCTTTTGTCACTTATACTAGGTTAGTGGTACTCATTTCCCTGTGATCAACCGTTTTTATTGTCGCGGCGTAGTTGACCGCTGTACAGGGTTTTCTATCCTCATCTTTGTTTTGGAGTCCTTATCAACGAGCTAATTATTTGGAATCAACTGCGCCCCTCGCACTGAATTTTATAAGTAATTTCTTCCAATGTCAACCATTCGTTAACCGCTCCACACAGTTTTTGAAGCTTATTAATAAACGGATTAGAGTAAATACCTTCTAATTTGTTAAACAGTGGGATGTTTTTCAAAAGGATACATATGCTTTTTCACTACTTTCTCTTGTCTGTTTGGTTGAATTTCGTGTTGATGAGTCTATTCGTCGTAACGCGATTGTTCCACCTTTGTCCTAAAATGGGAGTAGCACACTGCCAACCGTAAATCACGATTTCGTGCTTCCCTGAATGTTTTAGCTTTTCCCTCGAATTGGCGGAATAAATTTTGCCTTCGAAAAGTTCTTTACTTACGTAACAGTTCGCCTCTCTTTCGGGGGTTCTGGTGAGATTTTGTACTCAATGTAGTGTGTTTCAACTTTCCTACACAACAACCATCCCATTCTTGCCGTGTTTCACAACTTTTCCACTTTTGGATTCCAGGTTCTTATCTCGATCACAATGATTACGGAGATATATGTGACCCTGAAGGCTTCACTATCGCGTCGTTCCGCTCCATTCAAGATGCAATCATTTCCGGTAGTCTTGTTAATCCATTTAAACGACGGTCTTCTGTTGCAGCTCGTCACGAGTTGTCCATGCAATATGCAGCTGACGTGGAGGCTATTGACATGCTTGGTCCCGAGGTGAATCGACTGTATGATCGAATAGTCGAAGTGTCCAGAAACCTTCGCAATAGCTTCAAACGATTAGACATAGACCTTTCTCATGCGGCACAGCCTTCCCAACATAGTGCTACTCTGGACAAGGCCCTCTTACGTATTGTCTTTAGTGGCTGTGTTGCCACAACAGCCTTTATTCCAAACAATTGCAGGGAGCTGTATGTGGCGCAGGTAAGAGACAGCACTGACTGTCCTTTGTTATTCCTTCCCTTTTGTTCATCCATCTGGCCTATTTCAGGGTACTAATTAAACTCGGTTTGTCGGTTCTCACGGCCTGATAATGCCTATTAAGACCAACATTTGGGCAGATGCTGTATGCTGTTTAGAGACCCTTTATAACAGTTATGCGTATCTTCCACTGAAAGGCCGCTAACCTGTAGTGGATTGCTAACGGTACCATTGGACGAAATTTTAGCACCCAACCCATCACCCACCCATCACTCCAAGGGAAGAGCTACTGGTTTCTTATCTATCATTTAGACAAGGACACAAGAGAAGGAATACCCTATCTCGCGCTTTCAGAGTCTACCTGGTACAGTTTGCTCGGCGCATCACCTATTCTCTTTTGTATCATCTGTTGCGTCTCTATTAAGTACTCAATTTTCTGATACGTGTTAGTCAACTCACTTGCATTTTCTCAGTTATTGCGCGCGCTACTTCTCCTTTCAGATTTTAGATGCTGTTCCTATAACTTACTGTTGTACGCCAAATTTCATACCCCGGATTTCGGTCTTCTGAGGGTTAAAATATTTTTCTTGTGTTTATCAATTCCTCAATGACAGTGATATACGTCAGTCAAATTCGGGGTTATCTTTCAGACCTACTCCACTGATCAACAATGCGTTATCACTGACTGAATATGAAGAGTACTAACTGCCCCCCTTACTTGTTGAAGCATTGGGTCGTGAGACTGAGTTATTAGCTGCGATTCGTCGTCCTATTGTATCCTTTCTAACCCGAATCATGTATCGCGACAACAATCCTTGGCGAACACTCGCTCTATTTTTAACTGGTAGCTCCTACTTCTACGTGATTGATTCCTCCATCCCGCTGCTCTTTTGATCTCCGCGCCGCTGATTATATTGACGCGGCTTCTCTTGTCTTTATCACCCATCCATCTTCAGCTGGGATGCATCAGTTCTTTGCCTTTCATCCCAGAAAACATGTACTTTTATTGATGTCCTCAGTCCTTCGTTCTCGTCAGCCACTGCAGCTCGTTTTTGCGTGTCATGCATCGCCTCCGAGGCCCAATGAATAGGCGAAACACCAAGGACCACGAGTGGACATGGTCCGAATAATATCAACGCACCTTTGGCTCTGGCTAATCTTCGCTGAGCTCCTATTTGCTTATCGCCCACACCGGTCCATCACTGTAGATCGTTGTGGCGTCGGAGTCTTCGATCTATGACATTGGCGGATTGATTTCAAATGTTTTCCGTCAGCATTCAGAAGGCCATTGCAAATGTGGTCAGTACCCTCGCACCTGCCGAGCGCAACTACGACCACATATAAAAAGAAGCTCTGCCGTCAAAATGTACAATCAAATGCTCCACTGTTGTCAGTTTCTTTTGTTGACATTTTGGCTCAAGGGAGAGGATTCCGGTGTATACTGCCAACCTGTCTAGCAATGGGTCACTCTACATCTTAGATACGACTTCAGGGTCAAGTGCCAGTCTACGACCAACCCCGGAGAGGCCAACACACTGTTGCGTCTCGTTGATTCAAGCAGCCCAGAACCAGACAGCAACTTCCTTGTAGCCGGAGTTGAACCGCTTAGTGTCAGAAGCAGTTTGCTCCTTACCCGTGATTGCCCACCAGGCCACCTATCAAGACCCTATACTGCAGCAGGTCATCAAACACCACCGAAATCAATGGCCGCGTAATTCTTCAGTTCGCATGACGGACTATCACTGACCGACGGACAATTTCTGTTTCTCAAGGGACTGAAGCCAACCGTTCTGAAAGTTTCATAAAGCACATCTGGGAACGAATAGAATAAAGTCCCTTGCTTAGAGTTACGTCTACGGACTTCTGATAGAATCCAAGATTAATCAGACTTCCAGATCTTGCCTGTAATATGGTGAATCAGCAAAAATTCATTCACGGTCTCGACCGCTGCGGACCGAACCCTGATTCTATTTTCACATCGACTATACAGGTCTGGTTGTTGGCTAGTCGTAGTCGACGCTCATAGGAAGTGGCCGGAGATTCTTCCAGCGAACAGCCCCACGACTGCCGCTACAGTCATGGAACCCCGACGATTGTTCAGTTTCTTTACAATTTCAGACTATTGTATCTAACAAAGCAATCGGTTCACATCATCAGCGTCCGCGAAAATTCGTGGTGTAACTCATGACCGATGGTCACCAGTTTATCCACGGTCGAACGGTTAGGCGGAACGCTTTGCTGACATTTCAGAATTCCAAACGGGAGAGTTCGACAGAAGACTATTTTGCGAAAGTTCCTGCTTGCACCTCGAGGGACGCCATATACCAGTTCGTGTAATGGAGTGTCATCAGCAAAGGCACTGCTCCGAGGGTAGCTTCGAACACCGCATGACACTATCCGGCCACAGGAAAGACAACTGAGTCACTGCAAGATTAGAATGGGGGGACAGTTTAACCTGTACCGCAGCACTGCCTCGGCGAAGGCCATAGAGTGTTGGTTCATGACAACAGCTGCAGACGCCCTGGGTAGACGGCAAAGTGCTAGGCGAGATTCAAGTTGGTCAGTCGGGTGGTTCCTGTACAAACCAAATCCAGCCGAGTGAGTTGAGTCTAGAAATACTACTGGACAGTTTTGATCTCGACGTCACTGTGGCAGTCCCTCAGCTCTCTTGTCGCAGGCCTAGCCCGTCACGAAGATACTGAACGTTACTGTGGTATGGTGGCCTGCATGTCTCGGCGACCCATTTAGCCATACTAGAGGGTGCCCGTGCGACAATCGCAGTCTCATACCACGTTGGTCAACCGTTGGGGATCTGACGACTGCAGTCTCCTGGTCCTCCAGATCGGTGGTTGGGACGTGTGTGAAGAATTATTCTATCAAAGTGAAATCCAGCTGCACTTTCTGCCAAACACCGCTGCTTTGTGGTCAAGCCTATGAGTCGAAGGTTTTGGTTGAGGACCCTAACCGACCTCCGTCTAGGTGTGGCCGCCATGGCGGTACCCCAGCCCACGTACAACCATCAACTGCACGTATACAAATAAACTCATGCCACATCGACTGTCGCGTGGTGCGCGTCGCATTACTCGCTACCTACAGCAGTACGGGTAAGCGAAAACAGGCTACTGTTGAGGCCTCCCTTCCTTCTCCTTCTCATACCTTTTTCCCCTCCTCCTCCCACCCCTCTCCTTGTAGGCACATCAATTCGGACTGATGACTCCATGCCTCCTACATCGGTTTTGCGAATAACGTAAGCGAACGGCTCTTCCTCTCACATTGCACCCGCTTGGCATTGACGTGTGCTGTGTATTATAAACAAAAATTCAAAGTACAAGCACAGTGGTTGAGCTCCCCCCCACCATCACTCTTCGTTCGCCTCCACATGTGCACCTCTGGTGATCCAGAGGCTGCTGCGGCAGAAATATCTCACGCGATCCTGAACGAAATTTGGCCCGACGAATTACCGTACATCAAGTGAAAGTGAGCGTACGAACCGATCGTGAACTCTGACATAATCAGAAGGTTGGGAAAGTGAGAGGTGCAGAAAGCTGGGAATGCCCGAAGATGATTTCAGTTGATCCGAGCGACCGGTATCCGGAAAGCATCTGTGTTCGAGGCCATCAAGGATCAGAATGCAGCCATTATCTTGGGTGATGAGGAACGCTTTGACCTGTGGACCGAACAACAGTTGTCGTGGCCATCAGCTGTCACTCATCTGGAACCCACGTTGAGCGTGGGATCCCTTATGGAGGTGAAGTCCTCATTCAGTCCTTATCCGATCTGTTCGCCTGCACTTGGGTAAAGAAGGTTGTCCGAGACAACTGTGGAGAGTCGGTGATAGTGCCCATTTTCAGAAAAGGGGCTCGTAGTGATGATGATCACAAGGGGTCAGCTAGACGCCTGTTGTAATGAGATTGATGGCGTCACCTGTGCTTCGTCGCCTTATGGTGGCTCGTGAAGCACTGACTCGACAGCAGCAAGTGGGATTCTGGGCTGGTAGTGGTTGCGTTGACCAAATGTTCACGTTGCGTCAGGTTCTAGAAAACGCCACAATCTCGCTATTCTTGAAATTCCAAGGCGGATCTGATCTGGTTGACCGTTCTGTTCTCCTTATTTTTCAAACAATACCCAGGGGTTTCGTTAGCACAATGAGTTCTTTGTATTCTCAGACTTCTGGACGTGTGGGAGTATACGGGGGCTCTCCAAGAGCATCCTTACGCAGAGTGCTTTCCGTCTCAGGAGGTCATTCTGTATATTCCTGTTTAGTTTCGTGATCGATCGAATGGTGAAGCGAACGCTCGATGGTCGTCATAAGCACTTGTTCAAATAGCCTCTGGCTAAAATCTCTTAGATCTAGAATATGCAAACGATATCTTTCTCTTCCCCGATGATTGTGAGAGGGCGCAGATGTTTTTGGATGAACTGACCAAAGTCATCCCGTTCTTTGTATGCACTTTACACTTACAAAGTGTGAGGTCGTGCTCGTTGACATTCAGTCCCCGGACAATCCACTTACAATCCAGAGGGAGGCACTCGAAGTTGTGAATGTTACTTCGGAAGCTGTACTAGTTCTGATTGTAGTGTGGCAGAAGGGGTCAGTGCACGCATCTACTTGACTCGAGTCGTGACTGCTGATTTGAGACACCTATGTTGTCTCCTGAATCTCAAGGGACATGTGTGTCAGGCTACACTGCGGGCTGTTTTGTTGTATGACTGTGACAGTTTGGCTGTTCGGGCCGGGGGATTGAAATGTCTTCAGGTGTTCGACAATCGCCTCAGTACCATAGGCGAACTATCATGTGCTGAAAAATGCTGTTTTCCGTGCCTTAGAGTGGTGGTAGCAAATAGGTTGCCAATACTGGACCTGGCATGGGAGTACGAAAGACATTACGAAGCGTTTAGGTGTTGTTAGTGCTACTTGGCTTCCAGGATGGGGACCGCGTGACCCCCACTTTGCCTGGTTGGAGTCACCGCAACATATGGCTGCCACACGATGTCAGTGGCGTTATTGTTGTCAGTTTCTATCCTGATTGTCGGGAGGTGTAAACACCCCTTCCACTTTAATCCTTTTCTTCACAATAAATGTTCCAACTAAATCGTGACTATATGGCAGCGAAGCATCAGTGTTGAACACTAATGTCGTACTGCCGATGGTGATTATGATGATGATAACGGAGGCTCAGTCCGAGCACGCACTATGACCGGAACGCTGCACAACAAGGGACTGCAAGCCAATGAGTTCCCTGTAAATGAATTTCCCACCGGGAAGCTACTTCAACAAACCTCAAGAGGAAGGAATCCTGCACCAATACTCTTTTACCGCTCACAGTTAGGTGCTGCTGAGGCCGAGAGGCCCACAGACGATTGGTCAAAACATCGGGCTACTCGCCGGTCCAGCATCAAGGCGACCTCTGTTTAACGTAAACTGTTGACCTAAAAGTCGGTTGTGATTCACTATCCGCTGAGCATCGGCAGTCAGTAGCACGTCCAGAAGGCGTCTGAATTTCCAGAATGTTGCCACTCCATGCTTTTTAAGTACGACGCGCTGTATGCGGTTTTTTGACGTAGTTTTTACACGTTTAATACACTGTATGCACCCTTAATAATTCTTTTGCTCAAGATGCTAGTTTATGAGGATCAGACTGAGAATTGAGCTGAGGCATTACAGTCGTTATAGTCCCACCCGACGTCGTTCCCGAAACAGCCACATTGGTATTTACCGGTCTTAATTTTTCAACCCTCGATCACTATTCGAGGTATTCAGTCGGAAATCCACCTAAATCCTCGAACATGCCATTTCATATGACTGTATGTATAATTTTATATACTTTTTCGCCTGTTTACACCTTTACTTTTCAGTAATACACGTGACAAAAACTCGGATTTGATACGCCTTTTGCTGCGTAGGAAATGCACATTCCTGCAAGTTCATTTCGGAAAAGTTTGACGAATCTTTGGTGGAATTATTAGTGGGTCCCGTTTCGTCTTTTACAAAGCCTCCGTAAGGCCAAAATGACTAGGTTACAAGTGGAGTCAGGGTTTGGAGCAGAGAAACAACAAGTCCTGAAGATATTTCATAGACCTAATCAGTGTTAGGTGTCGACTAAGCTTACGCTGGTCGTCTTGGGGAAATACACGAATTTAAACCACTTTGTATGTTCATTCTCTTGGTTTGGTTCGCCTCTCTCTGATTTGTTTAAATCCCACAACCGGATTTTAACCAGCTTACGCCATTTGTATATTCGTCACATTTGATCGTTAGCACAAGTTGCCGTAAACACCAGTACAATTCTAACCCAACAATCATCTACCCGGTAACCACTATTTCCGATACGATCACATAGTTTTTTCTCCCGTTCTTTACTTCCATTCGAATGGTGTTCGTACTTTGACGTATCTTCTGCTAAACTCATAGTAATGAACTTCTACCCTATCTCGTGATCTTGCTTTTCCTTTCTCCATGCCCATCACTTGACTAAACATGACCCGTGCGCGTACTTGGTTTTGCCTGGTCATCCTCGTGATGGGTTCATACCTTCAGTAGATTTTGTCGTTACACTTCGAAGCACCCATCGTTTCGGCGTAATTGGTTCTTCTCTACACTTGTTCCTGGAGCCGACTAATCTTGCCTCAGAAGACAGCTGTCAGAAATAAATATACGTAGTGCTCCGACACCATTGGGACTAATCAAAATCGCGCTACCTTTGGTCGTGAATATTCTCGAGAGGCACACAAGGATTGAAACTCGCAGATAATAAACTGTGTTGGTTTTGTTGGTTGATTTGAAGCAACTTATAACAGGTCTCATCCGAGTAAAAGGCGAATCTAACATTTTTGCATCCATGGGTTATCTGTCCCCATTGGGCGATAGTTGGGTTCGATACGTGCAGGATATACGGTGAATGAATCTGAGAAATCTGTCTTCTGCAATAGATGTAATTCACCATTTAAAAAATAGTAAAACAAATCGTTCAGCTGTAACACCCTTCCGGTGCTCAGCTGCCATGCCACCCGATGGAAGCACGATGCCTGGGATACTGCCAGGTTGCCCAAGCCTAGACAGGGGAAGTCGATAGGCAGAGATCGGGTTCGAACCACCGACCTTCCGGTCAGTAAATTCGTGCTCTAACCACTTGAGCCATCTCGCCCGGGTAGTTTCGGATGCCGACTCGTTTTCACCTTGTTTTGTTAAATTCTCCTAGTTCCTTGCAAATAAAAGCCTTCTCCATTGTGTTTACTAACTGTCTCGACCGACGCTCACCATTATTCGGTCTCCCAACCTTGATGAATCCGGCGTCCAGTGTTCCCACCTTGGATGTGGGATAGGGCGGTAAGAACTGTAGTTCGCATTAACCGAGCTCAGTGTGCTGTTGAGCAACACGGTTAAAGAAACAACTGACAATCTTCCTAGTTTACACCATCCCATTGCCAAGTTAACGCACCACGTATTGTTTGACTAACCCAGTGTATTTTGACCTACCGCCTAGGAATGCTAATTCTGCTTGCTCTATCGTTTTTTAAACATATCGGCTGTTTGTTTCCCTCCATAATCGGGAGCGCCACCTGCGTTTTGCGCCCCTCCTTATGTGTGACCAGGTGAATGTACCTCTGGTGTCATTCTGCGAGAATAAGTCCGGAGAGCGAAGAATAGTGAACAGTTGTAATAAAATCGGTATGCCCGACTGGAGTTCATTAATGTTAAGTCAGGCAGGGGCCACCAAACAGTAAAGACTCAAAGTTTATACGAAAGGTGGATGTACTCGATGCGTGCTCATGTGGCTTACGTCTGTCAGCAACCATTTTAATCCGTGCGATGATGATCATTAAAAATCATTTCGATTACTGCACTATTCTGAGCACCGCAGAATGTCCAGCGTCAAGACAGGCCACCTTCAGACCCTTATGGGAGTAACTTACATTTTTGCGTACCAATTTGGTTTTGACACTTCCAACTTATGGTTACGATGTTATCGACTCACTACTTTCTTAATTTTTTGGGTATTGTAAATAGATATACAAACATGCACAGTGCTGATCATTAGTAGTCGATAGTTGATGCAAGATACATCTAGTTGCTACCGTGCTTGCATTCAGCAGTACCGGTTGGCGTGCACTATTGGGCTATCATAACCAATCGGATCTCCATGCGTATCGCCTATGAAGCTCCGTTTGTTTAATCAGAGAATGTCTTGTGTTTGGAGCCCGAGATAACTCAGTGGCTAAGGCGCCGATTTACTGACCGAAAGGTCCGTGGTTCCAACGCAACCTCAGCATCTCCATTGCCCCTGTGTATTCTTGGACAACTTGGCATTATCTCATCTCTCAAGCCTCCTTCGGGAGGTTTATTAGTTACTGATATGATTGTCTTCGCATACTTATGATGGTTCCTTCATTATCGTTTTCCCCAGTAAGAATTACAGCCCCTCTGACGACACTCAGTTTGCACTTGATCTTCAGCTGTCGGGGCACTTTGCGGAACTAAATTAAACCATCGTTCTGACGTACTCTGATCTATGCACGCTAAATTGAGTTTCTTCCCCAGCTGTTGATAACTCTGGAATTATTCTGTTCATGGGTATCTTGGAAGTTCTACTGAAAAAATGTCAGGACCACTTAAACGCGTTATCGTCACTACTGGAGTTTGACCGCCAAATTAAAAGCGCCCATAAAAATACACGGGTTTCATGATACTTACTTGCCTCGTAAATGTACATTGTCCTGTGCCGGAAAGCATTGCGATTGTTTGCTGAGCCTCTTCCAAATCCTACTCGGTTGATAAAAGGACATTTACAAATTGTACGGAGTTTCCCTCCTTTTGTATGCTGGTCTACTGAGTGAAATGTGTTTATTCTCATTGCTAATCTGCTTCACTTTTGTTCGACAGTTTGGAAGTGTGAATTCCAATTTTCTGTCACCGCCCACGCAGATAAGCCTGGTTCCATTTTGTCAATGCTCACCCATATAACGTCTAAGTCCATATCCACACCTATTATTCCTGAGCGAATCTTACTGGAATCGAACTTCATTGTCATTGGAATTCAGCGTTTTATCCACATAGTCATAAAACGTTCAAACCGTTAAGTGCTACCAACCACCACATACCTCTTAAGTTCAGACTGATGGATCCCGAATTTCAAACCGAGACATTTGAAGCTTTCATGGAGTTTAGGTCACACTGAAGAGTGATTGAAAGGGGACTGTTCTCCTGTGAACTCTGTGGTGGGATCCAAATTTTAACAAGTTGTTAAGTAATCACCTTTCGTGTGCTATCCGGATGATTGCCAATGGCATTCACCATCATTCAGGTCGGATTAGTCTTCGTTCAGAGGTCGGTGATCGCGAAGACTGAGTGACCGTAAGAGCCATAGAATCGATCAGCCTCACTGAGACGATTTTTCCGGAAATCGTACTCACAGTCAGACTATTTAACAGGTTTTTGAATTAAGTTTTTCGAGTAAGAATCGTGCTCATCGCAATTCACAGCAGATGGCTCAGTGGTAAGAGTGCCAAATTACTGAGAGGAAAGCCCGTGGTTCGAACTCGACCTCTGCCACTGGACTTCCCTGTTTAGACTTAGGCAACTTGGTAGTATCCCATCCCTCGTGCTTTCTGGTGGCATGGTAATCAGGCACCGAGAGAATGCTACAGCTGAACGAATTTTTCAATTCATGACAGCGCTTCCCTTTAACATCAGTATTTCACTACCGCGAATTTATAGTATTTGAATGAATGAACGTTTCTTGCTGAGACAACCCACTACTGACCCATCACAAACATTCTGGCGAACGCACACTTCTGACATTTAGTATACCAGTCTAAATAAAAACTGACTGTTAGAATGCCGATGACATTGACCACTAGCCACTTCCTACATCTCATCCAAGCAGGCAGAAACAGTCGCACAGACTACGGTACTGCACTACTCAAACTTTCTTCTTTTCTTTTCTTTTTTTCTTTTCTTTCTTCTTTTCTTCATATATATCTATCAAGCCACATGCCGCTCACCACTTTGAATTAAGCACGGAAAACAGCATTGTTGTCAGCACTCATAGTTCTCAGCTGAGTCAATGTGAGTTTGTGCTGTCTTCAGGTGAAACACGCTTCGTATTGTCTTATCCTCTACCCACGGCGCCAGTAACTGCACCATATGATAACATGTCAAACTCTGCAGCCTGGAGCACGCAACTGCTCAGGTGCTTGACACAAATCGGGGCTAGCTGTGTTCTTCGTATATTTTTCCCAGTTTGTTCGCCCCATTGTGCGACATGCGTGTGGTATGTTACAGTCATGTTACAACCATTTTCACAGGTTGTTCGTACCGTAGGATGATTTTATATTTGCTACTTATAGTTCGCATATCACCCCGTCCCCAATCCTAAGTATGTAATCAAGAAGTGCTGCGAGTCCCTGGCCCAAAAGGCCGGTTAGTTACGTCCATGCTTGATTTTCTGGTCAATCCGGTCTGATCTGGTGGTGTCGTGTCTCCAAATCGTCATTCCGCCTCTACGACGCATCTGTGTTGAGTGAGTAGCCAACTTTTCCATTTTCCCACAACAGCATCTCTTTCATAGAACCCTTTCTACCCCAGGTCGGTGATTGTGGCGCTGTTTTGGGAAGCTTGGTTTCCGGATCTGCACAGGCCAACCGAGCGCCACATGATCATCGCTCAACGGTACTTTTGGAGTACTCGTCTTCAGATTGGAAGGCCGAGTTGCTCATTGAACCGCATAATGCAGAAAATGCAGCTGACGTGCAGCGACTCCGATCCAGTCATCCGGTTCATGAGTCCGCCTTTGTTATTCGAGATGATCGACTGCTTGGTTAGTGTTGCTTTGTGTTACTACTTGGATGATTGCCCTGTATTTTAGCTTCACCCCCTGTTGCGTAACTTTCACTAGCAGCCTGTATTTTTCAGCTGTTCGTGTACTGTAGTTAACCGGATTTTGACAGAAAGTGGAACCGCTGTCGATGCAGATGAAGTACTTACCTATGTCGATGGGGCCAAAAGCCAATATTGAAGTTGTTGCTATTGCCTTTTGTAGTGTTCATCAGGATGTTGATGAACATATCTATTTTCTCCCTCAGCATCAGTTGTTTGTTAGCTCCTTGGACGTCTTATTAAAGGTTGTTTGTGGTGTACTAGCATGTCCTATAGGTTTTTAAATGCCAACATGTACCAACAAGCGGAGTGGTCTATTAAGAAACTGGTTAATGTGGTGAGGAAATTTTAGAATGATTCCAAACTACTAATTTGGTTGAAGAGCTAAGTAGCCAAAGTGCACTCCACAGATAATATTTCCGTGTGATCAATCGGTTCGGCCGTATTAGAAGCGTCGAACTACTCTGTTCTGTGCACCTTGTGGTTTCGTGATAAGGACTGGTAGCATGTATGAATTCGTTTTTGTTCTGAAATGCTGTGACATATTTGATAACGATCTCGATACATACGCTACTTCCAGTGTTTCATACTTGTGAGGTATCGTGTTTGGATGTATTTCCATGGTATTCAGAGTTTGTGATTTTCTGATCTTGAGTGATGGCCGCTGCTCCAGGCTTCTGCCAGCCTCGATGTGGGCGCCGATGTCATACTGTCGATAATAGTGACTTTTTGAGGAGCTGAGGTGTAAACGCTCATTTCGAATTGGCGGACTCCCTGGCCCATCTGGGTGTGCTTCTGTCCGTTCAATCGGCGTGATGTTCGGCGATTTAGAGCGATTGGTCCCCAGGCACCTTCCTCTTGGGGACACGTTCGTCCGACCGCCGGTTTCATTTGATTCGTGAGGGCTCAGGGAGGTGTTGTCGCGTTTTGCTCCATCCCTGGTCAATATGCATGTTGATCTGAGATCTAATGATTTTGGCCGTGCTCTTTACTCGGGAGGGACCACGCGGAACCACGTTCCGCGCAACGTGGTTCCATTATTGGGTAATAGTCTACTGTCTGAAGTTGATTCTGTTGACATGACCATGTCTGGGATCAGACTTGCTCCCAGCGCTTGACGTGGAATTCGACCCGGCGTCTACTGGTGCTAGTGTTCACGATATCCCCGAACCAGCACCGGGCCTTCATGTTGCTGTTGTTTTGTTCGTTCTGCCGGCCCTGTTCCTTGACTTCCCGGGTACCGGTGGAACGAACTGCTGGACCATGGGACTATGGATTGAAGGGTAAGGCTCGCGGGTGCACTGTTGTAGGCTGCCCCTTGGATTCGTCAAAACGGACTGGAGTGAGGCAGCTACTGGCGTTAGATGTAACATGCTGAATACCCGCTGTGTTACGTGTGTTCCAAATGGTTTCTGGTTTGGTTGTAGCTGTAGCGAACACAGAATGTAGTGTTCCCGTGAACCTGTTGCAACCATCAGCAGTTGTTTCGTTACAGACGGCCTAGAGAGTTTGGTCCGAGAGTTGAAGCTCATCAATCCCATCCAGGCCTGAAATATCGAGGCCTTTGTAATTGGTGATTTAGAAAGCACCACTGTATTGAACCCCATTGAACGTCGCGGAGCAGTTCAACTTCTCAGTCAGTCTGAGCAGTCTGCCGGACGGATTACGAACGGTGTACTTTGTGTGTTCCACTAGCGACCTAATCACGTTCCAAGTTCTCTTTGAAATCCGATAGAGCTCAGAACCTGTATCAATTTGGAGAATAACCGATGTGCCATTGATTCGTTCTGTGACGGATTTTCGTCGACCGGTTGATTTTTATCTAGAGTGTAGCGATCACAGCCCCTGAATGCATCCTTTCGTCAACCTGATGTTGTCCCTGCAGCACTCTTTATGTGGCCTTTTCGACTGTACTTGCTGTCACGTGGTTCGGGTAAGGAGAGTTACGTGCCATATGTCACAAATCTAACAAGCTGTGGGCGGTTTTCTTAGGGTCCGTTGGGAATTTGGTTGTCTTTTGGAGGTTGCCTGGCACAATCTGTCAGGTTATGAGTGCTCGGAATGTTCAGTCATTGTGGCGTCAGCCTTGAGACTGATAAGGTGCTGACATTCACTGGTAAGTTTCCAATGTGTCAACTCTGGATCGGGTTGCATTACCGTTGCTGCGAACTTTGCTCCGTAGCTTATGCCCCACGATACAACTATATCTGCTTCACCACCCGAGCCTGGCACGCTGTTTGAAGAGAGTCCTACAACACTGTCTACGTTTGAGACTGCTTGACATGCTATCTAGGCGCTTGCTCACCGCAAATAGTATCCCACGAACATCGATTATATCACAAAACAATAGTTCATCATTTAAGTTTTCTTTCCTGGAACACTAAGGTGACCAGCAGTGAAAATGATAGAATACACGAGGCGGTGAATGTACTGAAAAGTCTAAAACTTATCCGTCACCCGCACACCAGTAACTTGTCCTCAGTTGGACGTGAGCCCGCCCACATGCGTCTGTTCGCCTTTTAAAATGGTCCGTTCTAATCCTTGCTGTTGACGTACTCAAGTTGTTCGGGTTCCTGTGAATACTTCAGACGCAGTGCTACATCTGTGCAACAGAGTACGAACCGATGTGTCAGAATGACGTTGTTGTGACGGAATTTGTCTCCAATGAATAGATTTTATGCAAATGAAACTTCTCCAGAACGATTCTTAGTGTGAGGGAGGCATTCATACAACAAGTGATTTTTGTATGCCAAGGTTCACTCCCCATCTCTGAATAAGAAAATGCATTCTGCTGCACCAGCTTTGGAACCATTTCGGAGAAAAAGGGTGGCATTCCATTGACTTCGCCTACGAAGAAAAGTTATTCTATACTTGTTGAATTTGTCACAAGTCTTGTATCAGTGCAGGATTAGTTAGATCACTAGAAGCAACACCATCGTTATCACCCTTGTGCTCAACTGTTCATTCATGTAAATATTATCCCATGATTGAGGCAGTCAAAAAGTGCGCTTGCATCTAACCCACCACGAACATGAGAGATGCATTCGTTTTCACATGATCACTTAGTTTAGACAGATTGTCTTCCTTAAGTCTCTCTTTCCTTTGCTGTACTGCGTCTAGGTGAACTCATGCCCTTACGTGCATTCGGCGATATTCGATTTAAATGGCCATCGGAAGAACTGAAACACGTGGCTCGCCTTTTAGATCTACCTCCGAATTACCCAATCATGCCAGCCTTCTATACAACACCACCTTACCTATCTTCCACGCCGCAAGTGGTCTGGAGACCACTGGTGCCCAGCCGAGATTACTTCCTCATTCTGGGGACCGACGGGTTGTGGGACATGATCACTCCAAAGGAGGCTGTGGATGTCGTAGCCCGGCATTGGTTTGATTATCGTTGCGTAAGCTCTTGTGTAACATGTCTATCCAAACATTCATGGCTGTTTCTTTTTGGCAGCGAATTTAGACTTCTGAGAACCGAACTTCTAACAAATCACTCATTTTTACTCCAGTTAAGGCAGTCTAATTCAAGCGCGCCAATTCGGGCAGAAAATTGTTCAGATGTTGACTTTCTTTATATTGCGACAACAATCCTTACGCCTTTTGGAGGGAGCCCTCTTAGGTTGCCCATAGCCCGCCAGTTTTGTTGCTCTGAAGGTGGAGGGAAACGTGGTCCGTTGTCTCTATGATAGAGCAACTCATGTTTTCATTACAGACATCCTACCTCTTGAACGTGACGACTAAGACAGATACCTCGCCAGACCATTTATGTGTGCATTGATCAGTTCATTTGCTCCTGTGACATCTTAAGAACGATGAGAAATTATTCAAAGCGAGCGTCTTTCGGTAGATGCTTTTTGGCTGCTCAAGCGAGTGGCATGGACCCAATACAGTTCGTTTTCGTGAAGGAAGCTACTCACAAGACTGCTGAAAGCTCCTCGATAGCCCACGACCGTTTTCGCCCTTCTTGGGGCTCATCATGTAGGTGCAAATTTCCGTCAACGTTATGTTCTACTTGAGCCCAAATTGCACGAAATTTGACTTGTACCCTTATCTGCGTACCGATTTGGCTTTCACAAGATATTCGCCTATAAACCAGCTGAATCACCCGTTTATGATATTCTTCTGAAGAAGGAGAGGTTCAGCTGGGTTTCAGGTAAATCTCCCGTGATAGTAAACGAGTGTGTTTGACCGTACAGTTTAGCTTCAGCACATGCGTTAGACACCGGACCTCATTGAATTCTTGGAGATCAGTGTAATCATGAAATGCGTCTGTAAGAATAGTCCTGTCACAAACAATCAGAAAATAGGAGAATCCACTGGGTTCCCTATTGGACACCTGTTGACACTTGGACCTGTTCCACTCAACCGTCGAGATAAATGTTTCAGTACAAATTAGTTCGACTGTTGTCCAGTTATCCGCGCTATGGTGGTTTACTCTTCAAGTTCTAAACGAAGGCCGCTCGTTCGAACCATTTTATGATTTTGCGAGGTGCACATTGCTGAAAACTCTTGCCCAGAATGAAACAATTGTACGGAGCTTCTCAGCTTTGCATCATATATTGGATTTTTTCTGAAGTAAACTGTCATGTTCTCTAGTTTCCACTAAGATCATTTACTGTTCATTTAGTATCCCTCAGTATGTGGACCTGGAGATACGGCCGCCACGCGCCTAATTCGGACAGCCCTCGGGGGAGAAACGATGGATCCTCAACGAATTTCCGTGCACTTCTCTATGCCGGCCACTGTAGCTCGATATTATCGTGATGATATTACTGTACTAGTTGTCTACTTACCAACAGCATTTCGAGAGAATCACTTCCTCTCATAAGTTCGTCGTTTCTATACTTGCATGGAATTTTCGTCGCTCTGGAAACCGGATGGCATCGATCTCCATGGCTATTCTTGTGATTCCTTGTATCTAATCTTCATGTGCATTTTTCTCACCTCCCAGTCGGTCGGCTTTCCGCCATTTTTGTCTTGTCAAACCGATGCAAGATATTTACTCCGAAAACGTTCCTTTCCTTCGGTCTGCTAGAATATGTTCTTTTGTTTGACACAATTGCTTTCAGATTTCCTATGATGTCCCATTCGCACACGTACTATTTTGTTGAATAAAGTCACAGTGGTGCACTATCCGCTCACATTATTTTCCCCCATTCAGCCGTCTTGGATGTTCGTGCGTCGTATAGTTTTTTCTCTCTACTTCACTCTCCGTTTAGGTATGCTTTCTTCAGCATCGAAACTAAGGCCTGCTAGCTGGATCGGATCCGCTTTCACCTTGCATCCTATCTGAAACCGCTACTCTTCCTCCTCACAAGCATAGGACATGTTGAACCGATTAACCTTGGGTTTAGATTTGAACTAAGTTTCTCGGAACACCCGAAACCCTTTAATAACAGTCGTTAAACGAAGGTCAGAGAGAACAAACAGCTCTAGAGAAAACTTACTGGATTACCAATTTCTTTGGAGTCGTTTTTGGTATGTAACGCCCAGTGAAGAATTGTCTAGTGTGGGGGGCGGTTTTTTTGGGGGGATATTCAATGCTGAATCACATCTATGTATCTTGGTCCCACATTGTGAACGCCATATGAATATCCACTCCTTTGTGAAACTAACGAATGCTTTGCGTCACCGCCAGCTTAAAACATTTCTTAAAGAGTTAGGTCTTAATTACATTGGTCTCCCTCCTCACATCGTATTTCGCTGCCTCATTTCTATGATTATCCTAAACCAGGTTCACGAAGTTTGAAGTGAATGAGCTCAGTTCTGTATAGATTACAGTAAACCGGAGCTTCTTGTCGGATAATCACTGAATTTCCCATTCCGATCACTTAGGTGTGAAGCCGATAGAAGAGGGAATGACTTGCAGATGGTACAGCATAACGAACTCGGAGGCAAATATTCCTATTTGAGGAGCGATTTCAAGTTGGATACCACGCTTATCCTTAACATTTTTGGAGATCCCGTTAGCAAATTTCCGATTTTTTGAATGACCCTTCTCTTATTCACATATATATGAGTTCAAAAGCCCTTTTCGGATGCAATTTACCGACATTCCTGCCGAACTATACCCGGAGTTGGTTGGTTTTCAAACCGATGAATTTACGAGTCTTCAGGAGAACGGAGTCTGTGAATTTCACTAATATCTAATGAACGAAACTTTCGCTAATGATGCGACGTGTTACGTTAATCCTAGTAGTAGTGAAACTTGACTGTGTTAGTTACGTTTGTAACCGTCTGTCTGCGTGTGAGAATCTTGCCTAAAATAGAGTTAGTGACATGTCGTACCGATTTAGCTGATAGCCATAAATGTACATCATATGACTAAAGGTGCTAACATCATTAAGCCATATGTGAGAACCCAAAGATCACCTTCACTGTTGGAAGCCATTTGGCGTTCATGTGCGTAATACTTTATGATGCTACTCATGTTCTGCTTAGGTATTCGACATTAGAAATTAACTCATCCTGCCGTATTTGTTTGACCGTCTGCCGGCTAAATTGGTTTATCGAATCACAAGGTAGGCCTCCTGAAATAAACTGTCAGTAAACTGGTTCCATGGGTACGTTGTTTGGACGTCGGTTTCTCCGTCATTCGTATGTGCGAGCCACGTGATTGGGGTCACAGTTCCAGAATGTACCCCTTATATCTTGGAGCAGGAAGCTCAAGAGATTTTTTTTATATGAAAACGTCACTGTTCTGAAACGGCCTTCACAGATTCGATGATGCAATGTAGCCATATCACCATGAGCAATGCGTGCTACATTCTCGCGCACACAATTTTCAATGGGTCGAGGACTCTCTGCAGTCAGCTTGTACAAAATCTGCAGTTTGATGTTCTGGGGTTGTAGAAAAGCCAGTTGAGAAACGGGTGTGCAGAAAGTATTTCACTCGTTGTATTGAGTCAAAACTGACCTGCTGACTAAACCTGAAGACTACTTACAAATGAAGGCGTCGTAGTGTAAATTTGTAGGAAAATACGAAAGAAATTAGTTCATTTGCAAAGCGTCAGTCATTCAACAAACGTAAACCACATTTGACTGAGCTGCTCAATTCCGCCATCGACCGCACTGATCCAGATTATCTCGGGATGGTTACTTATACTTCCTATGGTTCGCACTTCAGTTTAGCAGTCCCGCAGTGAGATTGATAGGTCTCTACGTTTTTAATGAGATTTCATAGTATGTATGATACTTGTTAGCGTTTGATTTGTGCGAACACTTCGGAGCTGAGACCGTCGGGTCGATACGACTAGTTAATCCGACCCACGATCCAACTGCCTCGTGACGATGGTACACAAGTGATAGTGGGGGGGGGCGGAAAGAATCACCATCTTGGACAGGGTCACAAGGTTAGTAAACGTTTGTGCTTGGATAGAGCGTACACGTCACTGACTGTCTCAGATGGGTGATTACCATGGTTGCAGCTCTGGACTTATCTTAAGGACGCCAAATCCCGATGGAAAGATAATGGTTGGATGTGATCGGTTAAAGGGTGTCGGTGGGACGAATGACCCTCTAAACTCGATGGACCGTAGAAGGGTTGGAAGAGTGGGCTCCATTCCATACATGGTCACATTTTTGGAGTGTGGATTAGTTGTACAAAAGAAGAACCTGTGGTGGTATAACGTATTTTCTTGGTCGAATGAGAAGGTCGTGTTCACAGGGTATTACACGTGTACAAGTAAGTGCCTTGTGAAACACATGGAATGCAATCGGGATCCAAAAGAATCACAAACTAGACAGCGTATTGGTGCGAGCTAAAAAAAGGACTGTGTGGAAGAGTTACGTGTGGCTACAATAGACGTCATACTTGATGATTTGCGCGAGATCAGCGTTTAGCAGTACAGTGTTTTTTTCCGGTTGGGGGGGGGGGGGAAAGAATCACCATCTTGTGGACAGGGTCACATGGTTAGTAAACGTTTGTGCTTGGATAGAGCGTACACGTCACTGACTGTCTCAGATGGGTGATTACCATGGTTGCAGCTCTGGACTTATCTTAAGGACGCCAAATCCCGATGGAAAGATAATGGTTGGATGTGATCGGTTAAAGGGTGTCGGTGGGACGAATGACCCTCTAAACTCGATGGACCGTAGAAGGGTTGGAAGAGTGGGCTGCATTCCATACATGGTCACATTTTTGGAGTGTGGATTAGTTGTAAAAAAGAAGAACCTGTGGTGGTATAACGTATTTTCTTGGTCGAATGAGAAGGTCGTGTTCACAGGATATTCCACGTGTACAAGTAAGTGCCTTGTGAAAAACATTAAATGCAATCGGGATCCAAAAGAATCACAAAGTAGACAGCGTATTGGTGCGAGGTAAAGAAAGGACTGTGTGGAGGAGTTAAGTGTGGCTAGAACAGACGTCATACTTGGTGATTTGCTCGAGATCATCGTTTTGCAGTACAGTGTTTTGTGCCCGGTAGTCCGAAGTAAGGTCTCGGAAGAAAAGGAGAATTCACTGCGAAGGGTGACAAAGTGTTCGTGCTGAAATGAACGGTAAGGGAAATTTTCGCTACAGAACCAACAAAGTGGGTAATGAAACCTGCCTTTGTAGACCTTTCTGGTGGTAGTTTATGGGCTTGAAACAGCTCTCTGATGCTAATTATATCCTTGGGGAAGATTTCGGTCCTTGTACCTACTCGGTCGAGAGATTTCGTAATATGAAATAATAGCGAAGCGATCGAGGGAAGAGTACAACGACGATACGAATGCCAGTATACCATACTTGGAACGGTTGAATACTTATTATTACTGCTGGTCGATCAGGAAATCCCGCAGAATTCGATTTGTAACAGCCACCTCAAAACAGTGAACAATATTTGGGAGTAGACGAAAGCCGGTAGGAGTTTGAATCAGATTTAATAACGGCTGTTTTTCTAAAAATCCCTGCTTTCACTCAGTCAAATTACCTTTAAATTAAAAGACCCATTCTATAATGATGTAGTTCCACAGAAACAAACCTAAAAGTTCGCTCACAGTTTGTGAAGGAACACTGCCGGAAAAATCGGGGCGAGAAGGGGTTTGAGAATGGACGAGCTACACCTGATTGGGATGAGTAATACAGCAACGGTTGGGAGAAATATGCCGGGTGGATTAGGTGGTGGAGTACAGATAGCTCTGTGTACTAAGGTCGAACACTAGAGTTCGTGGAGGTGCGCCATGTCGGTCCAGAATCCAAGTGAGACGCATTTGGCAATAAAAAAAATGTTTTCACTTCATCAGCCAGCCGATCAGTACTGCAGCAGCGAACGAGTCACTTGGATCATTCGGGCTAGACATGCTGTATTCCACTATATAGCGATTGTAAGCCGTATTCATGGAGTAAACACTAGTGCACTGAGTGTATACGATTTCAACCCTATGCCAAAATACACCTGCAATCACGCATTGTGAGATTGCGTGTGACGCACCTGAGGACTGCATAGGGTTGGTATGTCGCGGGGATTTCAGGTGGTTCTACTTAGCATCACACTGGTAAAAGTCGTGAAACGAGTGGGGCATCTTGATCGTGATGCAAAAGATGGATACCTCGGGCATCTACCTTGTTGTTAGTTTGCTTAGCGAGTACATCAACTGGACTGTAAGCCGAGGGGACAGAATCAGTGCAGTCAGACGCAAGCTGATGATCGCTTCTGGTTATCAAATTGGTTGCAATACAACTACGGACTGCAGCAGGCAGTTCTTCCAAAATCTTAATTTCAAAAGGAACCTTGACGGCTAATAACGGCCTATGAATGGGAAAGAAATGGGAATGAGCACATGATTAAGCTGATGCATAAGGCGATGCGTAGCGAATATACACTCATTTGCAAACTAATTTGGTTGTTTCGAGAGACTCACCTGGAACCCAGCTGAATCCCTCGTTTATGATGTTCTCAGGCAACTGAATGTGCTGCACCAGGCCGCCTCATGTTTCAGTCGCTATAATATTTGAAATATCGCGATACGTGTATAGCTTTGTAATGTACTACTCATAAGGTGGACTGTCGATGGATTTTCAGCAACCTTATGAGTAGTACATTACAAAGGGTGAGTCTACTCAGCACAAATACTTAGCCAAATACAGAATCTGAATAGAATGTAACAGCGCGATTGTCGCTGATATCGATTGGAT